ATGTTTGACATTCTTTGAATCCATGATATTCGTAGGATTCTTCTGTAACACCAAAATTCAAAGGCGGCCAGCTTATTCAGATGAACTTGTTTTAGTGTCCAAGCTTCCAGACCATAAAGAAGAGTAGAGAACACGTAACATCGAAGCATTCTCAGGCGTAGTTCTAACCTTATATCCCGACAACAAAGAAACTTTTAAGTTTAATAAATGATGTACGTGCTATTTCAATACGTGTCTTAATTTCTTTGGTTTGGTCTACATCTGATGTTATCCATGTTCCTAAATATTTATCGTTATTAACATTCTCAATTGCAGTATCTTCAATAGTCAATTGGATATTTGCATGTGCAGATTTAGTCATGATCATGCATTTAGTTTTCTTTAAGTTTATCTTCAGTCCGTACTCATGACAGCGTTCATTAAGGCGTTGCATTAGGTTCTGTAAATCATTGTTGTTATCCGTAATTATTACTGTATCTTCTGCAAAACGTAAGTTATTCAAAACTTCTCCATTGATAGATATTGTATGTATGTGTATATAGACCATATTTACGCAAGAGCAATACATAACTCTTAAAATAAAATGAAGAGATGTGTTAAGTGTGGCAGGAGTATCTGAAGTTTGTTAAATTTTATAATGGATTTATTAAGGGCTACTACACTGTTTACAATTAATATTCAAGAATAATTAAAAACTTGGACGAAACATAGACAGAAAGAGGATTGCTTCTAAACAATTTTACTCGCAGATGACCAGACAGTAGCTGCTAGTAGTTATAAAAACGACATAAGATATATTGAGGCAATTAGTGAAAGAGTTTTTGAAATGGGATCTCAAAAACCAAATATCTACGACTGGGACAAAATGAATCAGATTTAACATTAGAAGTTGATTAAAGAAAATAAAGTAGCTTTAGGATATAAAGTATCTTGGAAGCTTAATGGTGAATGTCAGTGCGAGTACGGAAAATATTTAAAAGAAAAATTGGAAAAACAGATGAACACAAAATTTTGTATATATAAATTATATTTATAGTAAAAACCATTTTTCACCATAAATCGTAATATGTGGGGCAGAATGTTGTGTTATGTCAAAGAGAAGAAAATAGATACTAAAGATCTTGAAATGGACCGTCTTAGACGACCATGCCAAGTTTTAGGAATGCAGGTCTTTCTACTAGAAACGGCTGTATAACGGCTTTATCACGAACATCCACATCACGCTTTAAGGGCACATCTGTTCACGGCAACAAATTAAGCATAATTTTAAAATTTATGCAGCTAATAGAATTTATTACGGCAATAACAAAAATTATCATGACATATCCCCTATGCAAACCTCAAAAGTTTTTAAATTTAAAGTATATTCTGATCACACGAATAAAGATATCAGCTTTTTCTTAGAAAAAAAAAAACAAAGAATAACTAGGAGAGATATTTTTTAGAAGACGAATAATGGTTTTAGAGAAAGGTATTGTAAATATTCTTTTTATATTAAAACTGAAATCAATTCGCATACAAACATTTACCGAAAACAATCATTTACCAACATTTCCACAAGTTTAGAAATATTAATAGTCGATAAATTAGTTAGGTTAAACAACCAAGGACCATATTCATGCAACTGATTACTAGGTATTATTAGAATATTAATCATTGGAAAATATTACTACTTACTTTCATCACCTTCAGAAAGAAAACATCAAAAATTAAAACTCTCATTTCTCATCAAAGTTTTAGTTAGTAGAAAGAAAATTGTTGAAATTTTAAAAGATCCTAATGTTTAAGCAGTGTAGATATTGTTGTCTAAAACTGTAAATCATTTCTTATAACTTTTAACATCTAGTTTACACATATTTTATTATAATATAAAATTATTATTAAAAAATTCTGTAAAAGCACATTCATAAAAGATTTACTTCAATAGAATATCGTAGTATTGAGGACCATACATGGCGAAGTTAACAAACAGGGTCTGTGGAAAAAAGCGATATAATTTTGAACTCTAAACTTTTTGGTGATGCAGATATCGTGAAAACCAAACCATCAAAATAAACCGCTAAGATGAGTGGACCACGTTTTTGCTGATGGATGAAAGTGATCCTGGTAAAATAACCATGCTAAATACGCCGGAGGAACGAAAGAAGAAGAATGTGGCGACCTAACTTAGATATGCAGGACAATTTAAGGGAGATTGGAGTAAGGGGATGGAGAGGACAGACACTCGACATGAAAGGATAGAAGAATATTTTGCGGCAGGCCAGGGCTTACGAAGGATTGTAACGCCACCTGATGATGATGATGATGATAATGAGCGTTGATGATATTCAACTTCCGATAGGAGACAACCACATTTAACGAAGAAAAATGCACACACTTCACGAGTAAAGTTCATTCAGCGGTTTAAGTTGACCATCAAAATTTAAAATAAGTTTTGCCCTAGTAGAAATATAAGGCGGATTCTGGCTTAACCATAGAGCAGTGGTTTTGGCGAACATTAAGCGAGAACCGACATACGATCAATTGAGCCAGAATCGGCGCTTTATGATACCCGTTGAGCCAGAATCTGTCTTATATTTCTACTTGCTCCTTTAATAAACGACTGATTTTAAATAGCAACGAAATAAGTTGAGTGTAAATTTAGACTCATAGAGACGGACTACATAAAGATTACACTTAGGTAACAATAAAACACTGAAAACTTTGTTTTCAAACTTTCACAAAATTTATTTTAACTTCACTACATATAATAATCACTACAGCTGTTTCGGCTGATTGCCTTTCTCAAGTGATCTATTTTTGGCATGCGTTTACATTTTTTAGTCTCTAATGGAATAGGTTGAGGAGGGGAGAACTGTTTGTCTCAAGTTGGTGATTCAGAATTATATCTGTGTTTTTTAATTTGTTGATTTCCATAGATTCTAACAAGGATAGCTTAAGGCCTTTATTTTGAATGTGAAGAATTTTAAATTCGTCATTAAACGAATAATTGCGATCTAGAAGGTGAAGTGCGTATGTAGAATCTGTTTTTCTATTATTGAAACCCCTTTTCTGTTCTGCTATTCGTTTATTAAAGTTTCTACCAGTTTGACCGATGTAAGTTTTTGGGCAGTCGCCACATATAAGTTTGTACATACCACTGTGTAAGTGTTTTTTATTTTGGCTCTTGTTGTTTTTGATATATTTGCCTAGGTTGTTATTTGTTCGAAAAGCTGGTGTTATTCCTTTCTTTTTATGTATTTGTAAATTCAAAAACAAAGTTATAATTCTGAATGAACAATTTGAGACAAACAGTTCTCCCCTCTTCAACCGGTTCCATTAGAGACTATAAAACGTAAACGCATGCCAAAAATAGATCACTTGAGAAAGGCAATGAGCCGAAACAGCTGTAGTGATAAGTTAAAATAAATTTTGTGGAAGTTTGAAAACAAAGTTTTCAGTGTTTTATTTTTACATAAAATGAATTTCCATCAAGTTACGGTCAAATCCATTAATGATTACACTTATTTTATGCAAGATCCAATATTTCTTTGACAATAGTATCTATCTGTCAATTCTAGCAGGCATTATAAAATTCCCTTTTTTGACAAACATTCTCACTAGAAATCAAAAATTCTTTTTAGGATTATTAAATATGGTTAAGCAATTGGACTCATTTTGTACTGTTAATGAAGATTTTTTTCAAATTTATTGAATAAAGAATAACATTCCAAACTTGTTTTCAGTCCCAATATAAGTTTAGTGGAAGTCAATCATTCGAGTCGGTTTGTTGCGGTATGATAACAAATCACCTTCTTCCTCTTAGAGTTCCGTTTTCCTACGGAGGTTGGCAATTATAATGCCATGCAAATATGCCATACAATGTAAAAGACAAAAAAGTTAACACGGACAAGAGCTAGGAGAAATACACATACTGTGGAATTAGAGGACAATATTAAAACTGTAGAAAGTTTCACATATTTGGCACTATTAAGCATGGACAAAGCAGAAATTCAAAGATTAGTAAAAGGAAACTAAGCTTATTTTTGAGCTTATTTTTGAACTTATTTTTGAACGCATGAGCCCTCGCTCATGCGTTCCGCTCCAAAAACACCCATTGGAAATTAAAAATCAGGGTCTATAAAATTATTATCAGAAAAATAGTATGTTATGGATACGAGACATATGTGATGAAAGAAAACACAAACAGAAAGCTAGAAGTATTTGAAAAAAAGTCCTAAGGAAGATATTTAAATCTATTAACGAAACAGTATGGAGATCCAGTTACATCTAGGACATCCATGAACTTTACAAAATGTTCAAAGAGTGACCGATCTTAGAATTCGTTAAACTTCGATGGGCTGGTCATGTAGTGAGAATGGAGATCAACAAATTGCCAGAAGCCCTACAATTAAATAACATTAAAATACGTGAAAACCTGGAGAAGATCGGTGCCAGATGGACAAGGTTGGAAGCATAGTTTGGAGGAGTACAAGGCTCGATTTGGGCTGTAGCGCCATTAAATAGAGGGTTGGAAGTAGAACAAATGAAGACGAAGCAGATATATCTTATAATGCAGCCAGGTTGATTATTCTATAATTATATGTAGACTACTTTTTTTTTTATTTATGTATCTTCTTTGGCTATCAGAACAACGATAAATAAATGTTCTTGCAAAAACAGAAGTAAAAGGATATGTAGATTGAGACGATAATTGCGAATAAATAAAAAAGAGTGTCCGAGTAGACTAGAATAATTTAAGGTATTAAAAGCAATAAATAAAATCTTTGAATAATTAACTGAATAAATAACACGTTCAAAACTAAATTCTTATAATAATAATTTCAGTATCTGATATTCTAATTACATCTATTTAAAAGAAATGATTTACGGTTATAAAAATGTAAATAGTAAACATTAAAAAAAAATGCATCTAAATAAATCTACCATACTCAACAACTCTAGAAATTCTTTTCTATAGATACTTATTGTGTATTTTCGTCTACCTAACATAGTAAATGTCATGAACATAAGCAGGGGCAATCTGTGTCTTGCTGCCTGGCATGCATATTTCGACTTCTATTTCTACAAACTGGTACATACGCTGTCGATATTCGGTGAGTTACTGTCTCCTTGTGTAGGGATGGCGATTGTTTACTAGACTTTTCTCGTTCGGATCTAGATGAAGGTGTTACACCTAAAAATAAAAAGATAATTAAAATAGAATCATGATACGTCTTTTATAAGATTTCTTGACTACGCAAACTTAATAATAATAACCTCTTAAATACTTGAAATAAACGCAAGATAGTTAAAATACCATAGTTAATTATCTCAAGATACTTATATATTTTTATCAGATAATATTGAAGGTCTTCAAATTCTGCTTGATCGTATTCATGAGGTAGGAGAGGAAATGGGCACTAAAATAAACTCAAACAAAACCAAATTTTTAGTGTTTAGTCTTGACCCACATCCCGGTGCAAAGCTTCAATTGAACGGAGTCCAAGTTGAGAAAGTTCACAAAATCACATATTTGGAAACTGTGATAACGGACCAACTAGATCCAGACATAGAAATAAAATGTAGAATAGCAATGACTAAAACTACGTTTATGAAAATAAAGTCATTCCTTTATAATAACCATCTCAGTTTAGAACTAAGGCAAAGAATGGTTAAGTGTTATGTTTGGTCTGTACTTTTGTATAGTGCAGAAGTGTGGACACTAAAAGTATCGATCATGAACAAAATTGAAGAATTGGAAATAGTAGAAGTACTAAGAAGCGTCAAAAAAGACAGAGAACTGCTAAAGACTGTTAAACATCGAAAAATATCTTATCTGGGACATATAGTAAGGGAAGTCGATATAAAATTTTACAACTAATCTTTACAGGGAAAATAGAGGGCCGTAGAGGTGTAGGAAGAAAACAAGTTTCTTGGTTAAAAAACATTCGTGAATGGACTCAGACACCAAATGCAGCACAATTATTCCTAATTGCAGAAGATCGAGAAGCCTTCGCAATGGTGATCGCCAACGTCGGATAGTTCTGATATGGCACGGGAAGAAGAAGAACTTATATATATTTTAGTTTAACTATAGTAAAGTTCCAGAAATTGTTACCAGCTAGCAGTACATTATTGTTTTTGTAACCTCTGTATAGCCTTTTGTTTATAAATATGTGAAATAAAAGAATTGGTGTCAGTTCAACGAATCCATACCCTAACATAACCAGACATTGCTTTAGATCAAAACATACAGTACATCATGTGCAGCAGATTGTTAGTTAAGTTAGCAATTAGTTAGAGTGCCATTGCCAAATCGTAAATTGAGGGACACTTTCAATCGAGAATTAGAAAGTGATTATGATCGAAATGTATTGAACAAATTTGTTCGAACGAACGTACCAATGTTGAATACACAATAGAAGGAAATGCACGATAAGAAACTAACTGACGACAAACAAGTAAGTTGCATTGTTAGGCGACCACCGCACAATTAACAACTAAAGGTTTGCTCGGTCGTTATCATAATTTGAAATCTGAACCATCTGAAACTATGTAACGGGAAGCGTTTTGTGATGTGAACACTTATAGACTAATAAAAATGTATAGGCTAATACAAGCGAAAATAATCAAAAGGAAAAATTTAATCATAAGACATTTTTATTCCGAGAATCACGATGATAACAACCGATATGCAATTGGAATTTAAACGAATTTAATATACGATTCGTTTTGGATTCGCAATTATAACGAATCACAAGGCCAATCCTAGAATGTTTGTGGACTAAATTTAGAAAATAATTATTGTTTCCCTTATGACAAATTGTACGTAGTTTGGTGATATTGTAGCATAATAAATTCCTTTAAAAAATATCGATATTCAAGTAATAAAAATTTTTTGGTAAGCTCTTGGCTATATATAAAATTTAGTGTCTTTGTTTACACATCCCACACTTCCCAAGATAGATTTTGGTTACGAAGTTAAATATGATTATATTTGGTTAATATTTGTAGGCCAAGGTCATTTTACGATATAATTTGAAGCGGTTTGACGAGAATTTTGGGTTGTTCTTACTTGTTCCAGGTGTAGAGGGGTTAGTGGGACCGCGAGAGGAGGAAGCCATGGACGAGAGCGTCCGGTCCAATAAACTCAAGTTTAAGGTTTGAAATGTTGGCCGTTGTAAGCAGTAGTGTTTAGTTGAATCGGAAAAAAATCGGTTTTAGGTTAATTTGTTGAGAATAGTGAATAATACTTTATGTAATGTGTCAGTTTTGAAAGAGTAATCACTGTTTCTATGTTTTTAAGCATCTAAGAGATTTGTGTCGCCTACAACTTTAAAAAATACCCACATTTTTCCAGTTTTTTTTAGAAGACCAGTCTAAAGTTTGTATCCAGTGCCGCCAATTTCAACCTCAAATTGTTGTCCTAGTAAGAATCCGTTTCAAAATACTTTTCGTAGTATGGAGATAAATTTGTTCGAGTAGCAGACAACAACACTTGGTTTAAGTTACCTCAACGTAGGTTATATACCTGGACTTCCCCGCTACACACAAAAGAAAGAATAATAAGAAATCAAATAGATTATGTTTTAATCAACCAACGATTTCGTAACTCCATTACAAGTACAAAAACATATCCTAGTGCTGATGCAAATTCCGACCATAACCCTGTAGTAGCAAATATTCGCACAAGAAATAAAGTAATAAAAAATGCAAAGCCGAAGAACAAACCTAATATGGAACTACTAAAAGATGTACAGATTAAAGATAAAACCACTGTAAAACTAAATGAAAAACTCTCAGAAATAGACCGAACCCAAATAAATATCCAAAATATAAATACAACTTGGCAACAAATAAAATCCATCCTCGTCAATTCTGCAAGGGAAGAAATTCCAAATACACGATTAATGGCAAAAAAAGACTGAATGACACCAGCTATTCTAAAGATGATAGACGAAAGGAGGAAATACAAAAATAAGAACACAAGCGATTACAAACGATTAAATACAGAAATACGAAGGAAAATAAAAGAATCAAAAGAGAAATGGCTTGAAGAAAAATGTAAAGAAATAGAAGAATTAGAACATAGACATGATTACTTTAATATGTACAAGAAGGTGAAAGAATTTTCATTCATCCGCAAAAAACAACATTGCCCACTGGTAAATAACAACGGAGAGTTAATTCATAACACCAAAGATAAAATAGAAGAATGGGAAAAATTTATATAACAGCTGTTCCGAGATGAAAGAATAGACATTACAATAAATAATGTTACTGAAAGTCCACCAATTCTAAAAGTCGAAGTGGAATATGCCATTAAACAATTAAAGACCAACAAAAGCCCTGGACCTGATGAAGTTTATCCTGAAATACTTAAATTGATCGAAAGTAATAACATTGATTTGTTAGTAATTTTGTTTAATACAATCTACGATACTGGGGAAATACCAGAGGAATGGTTAGAATCTATTTTTATTCCCATTCCAAAACAAGCTAACTCCAGGCGATGCGCAGATTTTAGATTAATAAGTCTTATGAGCCAAGTGCTTAAAATTATATTAAAAACACTTCACAATAGGGTATACAAAAGGTGTGAAAAAGAAGTTGGATACGATCAATTTGGATTCAGAGCCGGAATGGGGACCAGAGAGGCCTTGTTTTCATTACAAGTACAGCTGCAGAAGTGTTACGACCAACAAAAGGATGTCTTTCTATGTTTTGTAGACTTTGAAAAGGCATTTGATCGCGTAAACCATAATAAAATGTTAAATTCCTTACAGAGCATCAACTTGGATAGTAAAGTAAAGATCTCCGATTAATTAAGAACTTATATTGGAGGCAGAGTGCCAAGATTAGGATCGACGATCATACATCTAGAAATATTAGTATAAATAAAGGAGTAAGGCAAGGATGCATACTATCCCCTATGCTGTTCAATCTTTACTCGGAACTACTATTCAAGCAAGCCTTGGAAAACCTTTCCACAGGAATAAAAATTAATGGAGAACCAATATTTAGCATAAGATATGCAGATGACACTGTCCTACTGGCTAATACAGACACAAACTTACAGAGGGTTATAGACCACCTTAAGGATGCTTGTCGAGAGTTTGGAATGAAGATCAACGAAAAAAAAAAAACAAAAGTAATGGTGATCCAAAGAAAACAGAATATCACCTTACCTATAAAAATAAATGGGAATATTTTAGAACAGGTAAACCAATACAAATACCTTGGCTGTTGGATTAATTGCAAGCTGGACCCAGAACAAGAAATTAAAGCGAGAATTGCTCAAGCTAGGGATAGTTTCTTTAAGATGCGCGTTCTATTCTGCGATACACATATAAATATTAAATTGAGATTAAAACTTGTAAAATGTTTTATCTGGCCTGTTCTTCTCTACGGAGCCGAAACGTGGACTTTAAAAATAAAGAGCCTGAATAGAATCGAGGCATTTGAAATGTGGGTGTACCGTAGAATTTTAAAAATTCCTTGGACAGCACGAAAAACAAATGAAGAAGTACTAGCTAGACTCAATTTAGAAAAAGAACTATTGAGAACAGTCAAAAGAAGAAAAACCAGTTATTTAGGGCATTTGTTGCGCAACGAGAAATACTACATCCCTCAGTTGATAATAAAAGGCAAAATAGAAGGAAAGCGAGGAATTGGAAGAAAAAAATTGTCCTGGTTACGTAATATCAGAAACTGGACAGGACTTGGATTTGAGGAACTCTTAAGAGCAGCTGAAGATAGACAAACGTTTGCCACCATAACCGCTAACCTCCATTGATGGAGACGGCACTTGAAGAAGAAGAAGAGTAGCAGACAGTGTAAGTTCAGTTCCCAACACCTAAATACCCCTAAAATCAGATGACTTAACCACATAAAGTAAAACAGAGTATGTCCCATTATACAGGGCATCTAAAAGCTTCCTCACAAAAGAAGCTTTAGTACAAAGCTTCCTCATTCGTTATGACCTGCGATGGGGTATAGCTTGGGGGTCAGATAGGTACCACTTTATTATGGAGCGTGACCGGTTTGATCTTCGGACACGGGCCCCATTGTTTCATTGGAACAGACTGTGACACTGGTCTAACATATTCCGTAAATGGTTACTTTGCTGCCACGTGAACTAGCTACCTTTTGAACTTTTATTAAACATAATTAATTTAATGTTAATATAAAAAAGTTAACATGACGCAGCAAATACCGTAATAGGACATTTATTAATTTTAAGGTGGTATGTTACGAAGTTTGCAGGGTCAGCTAGTCAGTTATAAATAATTGACATATCTTATTTTCTACGCAACACGACTTAAATTACTATATGTTCATGGTTTTTGAGGCCATTCGTTAAAAATGGCTAACTTTCAAAAAATAATTATAAATATAACTGGATTTTTTAATTTTATATGTGTCGCTGGAAAAAACTTAAGACGAGCTATTATTAAAACGATAGAAGAAAATACTAAAAAGCTTAAAACACACACACATTATTGCCCGATTTCGTCGTGTGAGGTTCTCCCACAGTAATTGTACTTATATTTAATTTAATTTTACTAACTTTTGACCGTTTCTTTTTTCTGTTGTGTTTTTCTTTTTACGTCTTCTGTTTTATGCTTTAACCTATCCCTAGCGGTTTTTTCTGATGTACTTCTAATGGTAGATATAGCTGTTTTATGTCGAATTTCTGGCAAGCTGTTTAATATTCTAAAAAAGAGAAAATAAATAGTCATATATAGTTGGTTGTCACCTACACTAAAATCAGAAATATATAAGAGATTAAATCAAGATCTCAATATACTTTATAAATAATATAAAAACCAATTAGATAATTTTTATAAAGCATTATACCTTTCCTCTCCATTTTTAACACCGCTGTCTTCTTTCCGCCTACCAACATTGGTGTTTGGATGTTTTTTCATTTCTATACCATTACTTATACTTAATTGCATTGTTTTTGTTTTCTTTATCAACCTAGGTTTTCTTGGGGGTTCAAGTTTTGTCGGTAAATCTTCGGAGGATGATCCATTTGATCTGAGAAGCGCTTCTCTACTACTTGCTCTTTGGAGCCTCCTAGCTTTAGTATTAGCAGCCCTATAAATGAACAACTATTACTGCAATCTACTTATTAAGGGATATTTTATAAATTTTATAAATTTCGGCTTTAAACAATATTAAACAATAATTTATAAACCGTTCAATGGAGTCGAAGGTCGCGGCAGAATTCTTCAACGTAACACTAAACGAAATATTTTTATCAATTTTAAAGACTGCTTAACTTTTTCGCAAGAAAAAAAAAAAAGAATATGAAAAACAAAAGATCTAACGTCCCCAAATCGAATAGGGTATGTCCTAAAATCTACATAAATATGTATCAAGTTTCATGACTAGGACTTTATTCAAGAAAAACTAAAGGAGCAATTACAATACGAAAATAAAAAGACTTACTGACTCTAAACTCAATAGGATATTTCTTCAAGAACCTAGGAGTGTGTGTTAAAAAAAACTGAAAGAATATGAATAAAAAAAGACCTTCATCAGTTGCCGCTACAGCCCTTCGTGAGCCTTGGCCTGCTTCAAAACATTCTTCCATCCTTCCCTATCGAGTGTCTGCCTTCTCCAGCCCCTCACTCCAATCTCCCTCATATCTTCCTGTACATCGTCCAGATATCTGAGTTTAGGTCGCCCCCTTCTTCTTCTTTCGACCGGCCTGTTTAGTATAGTTATTTTAGTGGGATCACTCTCATCCATCCGCATAACGTGGCCCACCCACCTTAGGCGGTTTATTTTGATGGTCTTCACAATATCTGCATCACCAAAAAGTCTATAGAGTTCAAAGTTATATCGCCTTCTCCTTAAACCCTGTTTGTTTACTATGCCATATATGGTCCTCAATACTTTTCTTTCAAAGACTCGTAGTAACTCTTCTTATCTCGTTGGATGTGTTACTTTTGTAGTCTACCAGTGATCCTAAGTAGCAGAATTCTTCTACCATTTCTATCGTTAAAAAAGACCTATTGACCACAAATTTAATCAAGATGTTTCTTACATCAAGAGAAACCTATGTACCCTGTTTCAAGACTCAATGTGTTTTCTTTCTAAAAAAAGATACAAGAATATAAGAAGAAGACCCCAAATTCAACCCTCACTCGGAAGAAGTAAGATAAAGTATAAAATTACTCAACACAGATAAGAGAACCGAAAAGCATTAAAGAAAATACAATGTAAGACACAAAATACATGATTGGTTTCATCATTCATCATCAAAATACTACAAAAGTTTCTTAATAAATTACATGGTAAATGAGACAAAAAAATGAAATCTACACTATCAGAAAGAAAGACAAAAGATGGATAAGCGCATAAAAATTACATAAAAAAAGAAAAATTAAATATGAAATGTTACAAAAAGATTATACAGTAAAAGGCAAAAAAATACAGCGAAATAAATAAGGTAAAGCAATCCAAAAATATTTGAGATTAAAAACTTACATTTTATGTGACTTACAAACAGAATACGGGAATTGTCAAACAAAAGTTACAATAATAACAAAGACATATAATCCATTTAAGAAAAATGTATCTTAGTTTATCTTATGCTACAAGAGTTCTCTCGAATTTAAATAATCCTGTTATATATATAACACGGAAACTAATTGTTTCGCCCAACTCCTTGCAGTGAAAATATTCCCTTTTATGAAAGAATTCGACAGTACCTTCATTCGTTATCAATTGAACTACCATCAGTCTTATTCCCAAGTGACACCTCCTCCCTGGATAATAACTCTTCCTTACATTAATCTCAGTCTATCTGTTTTCAACAAAGATGAAACAAACCATACCAATATAATTTAGTCATTTCTTTCAATAATATCAAATTATAAAGATTATTCCTTCTTATATACCGACGCATCCAAAACTTCAGACAGCTTAGGAGCGGCCGTTATAGATTCTAATCAACACTACAAATTCAAATTATCAGCATTCAATACTGTTCACACGGCTGAGATTTATGCCATCCTACAAGCGTTAATTATTATAAAGAAGAGAAGAACAACTATAGTAAGGCAGTACTTATCACTGTCTCTTTAAGCTCCACAAAAAAACTAAGTTTCTGGAGTGGCTGTATACAATGTATCACAAAAAATTTATTTAAAAATACCTTTTATAAAGGATTTTTAAATAAATTTTTGTGATACATGGTATACAGAATTTAGTTTCCTTGTGGATTTTAATTTGACGGTATGGTCAACTTGGCTCCTCAGTACATGCACTTAGCGACTAAAAGATGCAACTTGAAGCTAGATGTTTGGTTCATCTCCCAATTTATAAATAATCGGATCTTCCCTACTTTTTGTAAGATTAAAACTCCAGGAAATTTTCCAATCACATTAAAGAACACCTTCCAACTAAAAATTTTGAAAAAGGAGATTTGTAAACATTACACAGCAATTAATTATATACCTTTTATAAAGGATTTTTAAATAAATTTTTTCTTTAAGCTCCATTCTGACAATACAGAAACTCTATCCAAAACATCCAATAGGTTCCCTTGTGAAAACTGAATTAGATATTTTACACCAAAAAAACATTGACATCACAATATTTCGGGTCCCATCGCATGTTGGTATTTGAGGAAATGAAGAAGCAGATTCCTGTGCTAGAGATGCAGCAAATAACGAAAATTCAACAATAGTGAGTGAAGTGTTTACTAGTGATATTAAAAGAGTGATTAAATCCAAAATCCAGTGTAAGTGGCAAGGTGAATAGAATAACTCCAAATCGAAATTAAAAGAAATTAAACCATCTATAAAAACGTAGAAGAAACAAAACACAAGCAGAGACAATCAGGTTAGAATTGATAGATTACAATTTATACACGTATAACGCATACATTTTTATTTGATGGAAAGAATCAACCGGTATGTGATAGAAGTAAGATAACACTAAATGTAAAACACTTGTTAAACTTTACAAAACATATTCAAGAAAAATTCAATAATTCAATCTTTCCAACGATTTAAAATCATTATTAGACGAAAACTGTAACATAAATAATATTGTAAATTTTCTTAAAGAAACTCAACCTTTTTATTCATTGTAAATTAATTAAGTATTGTACCTCAATGTAACAAGTTGCTAAAACCATATATAGAAAACACGACTTATTTGGACAACTACACCATTTTCCTTAACAAGTAGAATGATTAGATATTAAAAGAGAAAGTATTACGTGAGGTGAAACAAAGAAGGCATTATTGGAATTATACAGAACTAAAAATATATATTTACTTTGTAGTGTTCTGTTCAATTTTCTCAATTTTCTCGGTCTTCTCTACTCGCTCAGTCCTTCTTCTATGTTTCTCGTAACAAGGTTTTGTCTTGGGTTCAGGTGTTCCTTTTTTCCTATTAAGACTTTCTATGGAGGAAGTTGGTGATGTAGGGTTTAATTTCGTTTTGACATTTGATAACTTTTGTCGCGTTGTTGATGATTTTTGATGCATAGATTTAGTTTCTAGAATTGTTTCCAATCTATTCTTATGTGAGTTATCTTCGTCTTCTGAGGATAACCTAAATAAAAACAAATACTGTAATGTTATCAATATTATGTTCTAGAAATTTAAAGATGTAAAAATAAGATAAATACACATTTCTAATTATAGCTATAAAGTATATATTTTCGTTCAGAACTTCTACTGAGTTTATTGAAATAAAGTATAAATACCTGTTATGTACTTCTTCATCTGTATATCCATTTACAGCCTGTAATATTTGATCAGCAGCTTTTGTTAATTCTTCCAGAATACTACTATCAAACTCTCTGCCATATTTGTTCTTAATATTTTCATAAATTGGTTCTGACAAATTCTTCGTAGGGCTCTTTCGTCCATTCCGCGTTGGTGATGGAGATTTTTGGTTTCTTCTGACAGGAGAAGGTGATTTCGGAACCTTTCTGATAGGCGAAGGCGATTTATATGGTTTCCTAATTGGAGAAGGAGACTTTTTATGATGCTGAATGAGATCTGGTTTTTCTAATAACCTGTTTTCTTTTCGTATCACAGCTTGGGAAACTTTCTTCACAGGTTTGGGAGAAATGTTAACTCCGAAGTATGTCATTTCAGACTTTTTCGGCGTTCTGAGCACTATTCCTAAAAATATGTAAACAAAAATATATAAATACCGAAACTTATCTTAGGGATATGGAATCTTAGAAGTCTTGCAGATAAGAGTATGAAGTTGCCATTCCGTGCAAAAATGTTAGAAAGGATAATGGAAGATAAAAGGACGTCCTTTTATCTTTCTTTCACATACATACAATTTGGAGCAATAGGGTTGATACTATTAAAGATGATGCTATTAAAATTCTTTGAAAACACCTCAGAAAAGAAGTTTGGGAATAAGGAGACCAGGTTGTACTCAAAAGGCTTTAAGAAAAAATAAACTTAGAGCAAAGAAAGCAAAAGATTTTAATTAAACTAGGTATATCCGAGATTCTTTTTCTTCTTATTCTTCCTTCTAGTACATAGGCTTTAAAGCCTGTTTCTTCTTCAATATTAGCCTCCTAAACTGTTTAAATTGTCGCACCATCTTTTTCTTGGTCTGACAATACTTCTTCGTCCATTTGGTGACTTATCTCGTGCTATTCGTACTATTATATCCTCTGGCATTCTACTGATATGTTCATTCTACTCCTGTTTTCGTTTTGTCGCCCATCCATTTATGTCTTCTATATTGCATTCTCTTTTTATATTTTCGCTTCTCTCCGTATCCAATGGACTTCTCCCTGATATTCGTCGAAGTATTTTCATCTCTGTTATTTCTAGTAGTCGTCTTGTTTTAGATGTGTCAGGTCTTGTCTTCGCCGTGTATGTTAATATAGGTCTAATTGCTGCTTTATACATTCTTGTTTTTGTGTCTTGTCTTGGGTGTTTGTTCTTCCAGATTGTGTCCTTAAGACAATCCGCCGTTTTACTTGCTTGTAAGCTTTGTTGTCGTACTTCTTCTTCAACATCTCCGTAACTAGTTATATCTATTCCCAGATATTTAATCCGAGATGGAAATAATAAAACCAAAACTATACCATAAAACTAAAAAATAAAATCAAAAAAGGCTATAAAAAAACGATTGAAAAAGTACTTTTAGAACAGTTTACTAAATGAGTAAGTTGACAGACATCAGTTGAGCGAGCGGATACAGTAGCAGCAATGGTCACTAAAATAACAAACGAGAAAGCTACTCAAATTCTTAAAAAATAAATAAATAAAGAAGGGTAAAAAGTTGTACCAGAGGATATCACTGGAAAAGTGTAGACAGCTTTGGACATTTGGAGAGACGAACGAATTGGCTAACAAGATTGTTTAATATAATTATGGAATTGGGACAATCGCCAAATGAATGGGGAAGCAGTACGTATATAAGTACCTATTTACAAAAACAAAGGACTAACTACAGGGTTATAAAACTACTTAGTCACACCATGAAGTATGAGAATTGGAGAAACCCAAATATATAAAGATTTAAAAATCAGTTTGGATTTATGCAAGGCTGAATAACAACAGATGTAATTATCGTTATAAAGCAGCTGATAAAAAAAATACAGGAATGCACAGACAAATATTCATACGATATTCATTAATCACAAGAAAGCATATGATTCCTCGAAACGATATGTAGTGAGCGTTTAATAATAAAGACATTTTCGGTAAGCATATATAGAGACATGTATGAAGGAGTAGTAACTAATGTTAGGACTGCTGTAAGAGGGACCGATTAATTTCATCCTTTAGAAAGAATTTATACCAAAAATTGAATAGGCTCTCCAGGTAAAAGTTTTAAAACTTAGTATGATGACAATGACGAAATTTATATTCTTATGAAATATTGGTAATTACAACCATACTAAAAATTTTGTAGATCCATTCTTGGAGTTACAAACAAGTAGGTAATTATGAGGGTGAAAAGGAAACAGCAATGTTTAGTCACTATAAAAGGAATTAAAAATAATACGATAAGATTAACAAGGAATCCGTAGAAAAGGGTTTTCTTGGTGCGAAATTCAATGGTTTTGTATAAAATAATAAATAAACATCATCCAAGACGAAAATATTTACAGTTCACATTTAAAGTTTTCCCCCAACGTATTTTTTAAACCATAAATTTAAATAAATAAATATTTGGGTAACTAAATTAGGACATTGGTTCATATTTTTTGTGCTACTCTACTATTCTAATGACAAAATTATAAAAAACGTCGGAAGCAGATATTTTGTATGATAATTGATAATGATAATTTTAAACATACCAAAAAATTCATAATGTTGAAAACACTTCAGTATATTTCTAGATTTTTGTGGCGGTCATAAAATTGTGAATATTATCTTAAATTGACTATCAGCGAAAGAATAACTATTTCTTGTCACCGGACTGACTTCAAATGATATATTATTTCCTAGATTATCTCATTTAAAATTATCTTCTGATCTTTATGATCTGATTTTTATGATCTTTAAGAGAGCAAACAATAAATAGATGTCTTAATTCCATTACAATAAAATTTATGAATTTAAGTTGTTGGGTAAGAATAGGGGTGAGGAGGACTTGGACGCGTATAACTCAACAGATATAGCTGCAATACTCAAAGTCACTTCATCGATTAAGAGAGAAGTCAATAGTCAGTTGTATGCAAACGCCCGAAGCGTAAACATCCGTATACTTAGCATTGAACATAAATTTTAATGTGTTTGTTATATTATCAGATAACTTCGTAATTCGTTGTTTGTTGAATTTTCATTAAAAACTAAGAGAAGAAATAATTTTTTATTGAAATGAATCGCGTAAGGGCCGTAAAAATCTGATTCTGAGTGCATGAGCTCGTGAAATTATATACTGGGTTTTAAAATTTACGCAACAAGAAGCAGAAGGAAATGTTCTTCGTAAATTGATTGTATATTTATATTAAAATGTATATATATATATATATATATATATATATATATATATATATATATATATATATATATATATATATATATATATATATATATATATATTGCATACTTAAATTACCATTTTTTTGTTATAAATCGAATATAAAAAAGGTGCTGTTACAGAAAGATAGAAAATAATCGAATAAGAGAAAAAAATTAAAATGATATTCAATTGTTATAGGTGTCGGTTTATCCAGCGTCAGAAAAATTGCTAAAGAGGGTCGTGAGGTTGAAAATGGAGAAATACCCGGATTCTCCACACCTAATGATCAAAGTATATTACGGAGACAAATAAATGATTTTCATCTTTGCGATAAACAATTTTCCACAAGTAAAAAAATTTATCAAAAATTTGTAAATTAATTGAATTATGCAGAAAGTAGAGAAAGTATGAGGATGGAATTCCACAAACTTGGGTTTCGCTGGAAAAAACAGTCGACAATAGAAAAATGTTGATCGAGAAACACAAAATTAGACATTTAAGGCTGAAATATCTAAGGAAAATCAAGGAAGCAAGAGATGCAAATAAATTTATAGTGTTTATTGACGAAATTTATTTACTAACGAGCCATATTGCAAAAAAACAATTGGTGTAATACCAGTAATAATGAACTTAAAAAACTAGTGTCAAAAGAGCAACATTTAATTATTGTTGGGACAGGAAATGAACAAGGTTTTATTCGTGGTTCTTATTTGAGGTGGAAGTCAACGTCAAAATCTGGAGACTAACATGATGACATGAACTATGCAAATTTAAAAAAATATTGCATATTTATACTGTCTCTATGTTAAAGCCTGATTTCTATAACATAATAAAATTGCATAAACCTCGTTGTAAAATGTAAATATGCAATCGATAGAATTATGCGAGCATAAGGACATGATGTATTTAGACTCCAATCATACCATCCAGATTTAATTCCTATTGAAATGGTTTGGACAGCTTTGAAATCATATTTGGGAGCCAGAAATGTAAACTTTACATTTACGTCAATCCAGCAGCTGTCGGGCGTATTTTTTCAAACCTTTCCTGTGGAGGAGTGGAAAAAAATAACAAATACAGTAATTGCAACTGAACGTAAATTGATATCAAAGGAGCCACTAATTGATGTAGTCATAGGTCGTATTGTTATTAATCCAGACAATGATTCAGATAGCAACGATTTACAATTAAACTCTGACAGCGAAAATAGCGACCTTAAAGATATTTGAAAATAAAAACAGGTACATCTATATTTATAAGCTTATTTCCACAACCGTTGGAAATAATTTATTTTAACTAAATTATGCTTAGACTTGTACTGTTTGTGTATATTCCGAATAATTGTTGAACCAACTGAGATTATGTTATTTTTTTTGTTTTATAGCTTATTTAAGCTTATTTATTTTATTAAAGGAAATAAATTCAAAAGATATAAAGTTATTGAACTTAAACCAAACAAAACAAGCAAATCTTGCATAACATTCCAATACTTTATATTATATATAATTTAAATAATTACCATCTGCAGGTTTAGGATACACTTTTCTATTTTCTAGACTTGAACTGGAATTTTCTACCGACTTTTTTTCTGTGACTTTTGTTACTTCTATACTTTTGTTTTTATTTACTATGGAAGGACTAGAAAGTTGCTCACTTGGCCTGAGGTCTGGCCTACTAATAGGTGTTCTTCTTACTGGATTTGGCGAAAGATGTGACCTTATTATATTTACTGTACTATGCTGTTTTCTGGCAATTTCTTGTGTTTTAGTCGTTTGTGGAAGAACTTCTGGTTGTCTTAGTCGCTCTAACGAATCTAAAAACACAAAAGTAAACACATAGTTTACGATAAGTGTAGATGGAAATATAAATGGATATGTAAAATTAATTAATAAAAATATAATTAATTTATGTAAATTATGTGTAATAAAATATTAATTATGGAATTCAGTTAAAAATATAAAAGGCTGACATAAAACGGCATACTTGGGTAAAATGGCGCATTACCAGCTTTGAATGAACCGCGAAAAACTGGATTTGCATTCCACCTCAGAGCGCTAAATGGTAGTACTGTCGACAACCTTTATGAACCTGCATGTCTCAGTTAGACATTCTGCTTTAACAGTGTGTTTATAATTAGTCGAGTAAATAGTTTTCCATCACTTCTTGATTACGAGCTTATTGTTCTGAGGATGTGACATTTTTTGCAATTTCAAAGGTATTAATCACAACAACAAACAATAGTTCTAGTGTAAGTTGTGTTTTAACAGAGATCTATATTGTTGATTAAACGGATATTCCGGATAGAACGGATAAGTTTGGCAAAATGGCATACATACAAACAGATGTATGCCTTTAAGGCTCGTTTATGGATTAAATAATATCTAATTGATGGATTCGACCGTTACTTGATGGAAATTCATTTTATGTAACAATAAAACACTGAAAACTTTGTTTTCAAACTTCCACAAAATTTATTTTAAATATTATCACTACAGCTGTTTCGGCTGATTGCCTTTCTCAAGTGATCTATTTTGGTTTGGGTTTACAAATTTATAGTCTCTAATGAAATAGGTTGAGGAGGGGAGAACTGTTTGTCTCAAGTTGGTCATTCAGAATTATATCTGTGTTTTTTAATTTGTTGATTTCCATAGATTCTAACAAAGATAGCTTAAGGCCTTTATTTTGAGTGTGAAGAATTTTAAATTTGTCATTAAAAGAATGATTATGATCTAGAAGGTGAAGTCATACGCACTTCACCTTCTAGATCATAATCATTCTTTTAATGACAAATTTAAAATTCTTCACATTCAAAATAAAGGCCTTAAGCTATCTTTGTTAGAATCTATGGAAATCAACAAATTAAAAAACACAGATATAATTCTGAATGACCAACTTGAGACAAACAGTTCTCCCCTCCTCAACCTATTTCATTAGAGACTATAAATTTGTAAACCCAAACCAAAATAGATCACTTGAGAAAGGCAATCAGCCGAAACAGCTGTAGTGATAATATTTAAAATAAATTTTGTGGAAGTTTGAAAACAAAGTTTTCAGTGTTTTATTGTTACATAAATAATATCTATAAATAAATCAAAAACTATGATTTTATTTTCAAATCAAGCTGTGTTGTTACCATGATCATGGTCGGCAAACATGTTAGAAAAACAAAATGGCTAACCTGGGATATAAACTCAATGCAAAATGCAATCGGAGCTGTTCGTAGTCAACAAATGGAATGGCTGAAAGCGTCAAAAACATTCAACGTTCCATTCACAACCTTAAGAAGACGAGCTAGTAACTCTAATTAAAGAGTTAAAAATAACGATAAAAGACTTACATTTTATACCACATTTACAATCGTTCAAGAGAATGAATTAGTAGAACATTTAAAATTATTAGAAGCACGATTATTTAGATTGACCTGTGATGATTTAAGAAAACTTGCTTATGACTGGGCAGAAGCTAATTTCGACCACAGGTTCAACAAGAAATTGAAACGTGCTGGATGGTACTAACTTAAAGGCTTTAGGAATAGACATTTCGGTATTTCAGTAAGGATATTTAAAAATGCCTCTATAGCTAGAGCAATGGCATTCAACAAACCAAATATAGCAAAATTTTTCAAAGCATATCATGAAGTTATCTACGAATATCAATCTCCCCCCAATTAATCTACAATGTGGATAATAAGACTGAAATGTCCACCGTGCTTAATCCACCAAAAATATTTGCTGTTACTGGTAAAAAACAAGTTGGTACTATCGTGGGAGTTAAACGCGGAATACATGTCACAGTTGTTTGTTGTACAAACCCAATTAGATTAGGGATTTCCTCAAAAACCGGGGTGGATTACAGGTGAGATCTTTCACAAATGGTTGAAGCATTTCCATAAATTTAGTCATGTAACCAAAGAATCACATGTTTTGTTGGTTCTGGATAGACACATTAGCCAAAAGAACTGGAGCGTGTTGCAGTATGCAAAAGATGGCTTAATACTCGGTTACTTGCCGGCACATTGCAGTTATTGCATCCAACCTTTGGACGTTCCATTCTTTGCACCTTTGAAAGGGTATTTGAATCAGGAGACGAGAAAAAAAATCAGGAACAATGACAGAAAGCCAATTTCTTATAGCGGCTTCCCACGGTCGGCGATATTACGGACGTAAGCGGACCAGCACGCACCACGCACCGTGGGAAGGGTCTCGTCCGTGGTAGCGCAGGCACGTCTGTGCTGGTCCGTCCTATCCATCTAGAGTCGGTAACATCAAAGGTGCGGTACATGTTCGTGCGACGCGATCCTAGCGCGTCTGTGTTTTAACAGACGACAAGTGCAAGTCGGAAGTTTTTCATTCGCTGACACGAGTAGTTGTCTGTAGTGTTGTCAAAGTTGTTTTGCAGTTTTTTGCTAAAAATGGAATGGACAAACGAAGTTATTTTTGATTTTTTAAATTTGTATCAAAATGAAACAAATTTATGGAATTCTACGGCACCAGAGCATAAGAAGCGGAACCGATATATACAATGTATGGAACCAAATAAAAAATAAATTGAAGAATAGTACTATTTCGATTAAAGAATTAAAAAAGAAGAGAAATAATTTAATGCCGAATTTAATGTTTACAAGCCTGAGTGGCCTTTTTATGATATAGTCAAACAATACTGTCACAGACCTACACAGACTGCCACGGACCGTAGGAAGAGCTCTGTCTGCGGTGCGTTCTCGTCCGTGCTGATCGGCTGTCCGCGATGATCTGTAGAATCGCCGATCGTGGGAAGCCACTGTTAGATGCAAGTCGCCGGTGTCTTCCAAGTAGCATACGAAAAGGCAGCTACTGTCGAAAATGCAGTGAGTTGCTTTAAAAACACAGGTCTCTGGCCTCTTAATCCTGATATTTTCCATGATCATCTGTTTTCTCCCTTAAAATATAATAGACAAACCTAATCCAGCAGCATTGTCAGTCAACACTGATGAAATTTATAAATGATTAACTATATCGCAGATTGAAAAGGATAAATCATGTGATGAAGCCAACAACATGAACAATTTTGAGGGCGTTGTAGCACTCGTTGCCACTAGTTCTCTACCATCTACATCAAAACAAACAACTAAACACAAGAGAAGACCCACTCCAACTGTACTCACCAGCAACCCCTTCATAGCGGAAGTCAAAGAAATAGAAACAGAAAAAATTCGAAGGCAAACTACAGGGCAGGTTAGGTAACTGAAATAGACCCAGAAGTAGCATTTGAAAGTGAACCTGATGATGACGAATATGACACATTTTGCGTATTTTTTTGGGAAGCGTTCTCAAAATCTAAGCAAAAAGAACTATGTTGCAAATGTCTGTAGTGGGGTCTTATTTTTTTGTGCATAAATTGCACCAAAAACAAATATTTGCAATACTTGTATTTAAATATATGCCGTTTTGCACTGAACTCATGAAGACCCAAAATCCTTTTTGAGTCTATATGATTATAAAGTTTTTTTTTATATTTTTGTTAGAATTTGACCTACTGTTGATTAGAATTCGTGATATTAGTGACAACAGTACAATCTTAGATTTATAGCGCAGAGAAGTTGCATTTCATGATCTTTTTTGTATTAATATGCCATTTTAGACAGACTTGTGGGATAAAACGGTTAATGCATTTGAACGCATATTTATTTTTTTCGATAATGGATGATTGGTTTCGTGTCTTTGTAATCTACAGGGTGAGTACCAAATAAATTTTACATCTGATGGAGTTTTTACTTTTTCTATAAATTGGACTTGTGTTAAAAGTATGACACTTTCAAAAAATAGTACGCCGTTTAGGTCAGCCTCCCCTACAACAACATATTAACAATAATAAATACATATAACACAAAACTTATAACATTAAACTGACATAATATTTTATATTCTTGAGGATGCTAGAACCCACGCAAGGTTGTAAAGCCAGAATGATGATGAATATTTTAATAGAGAAATTCAAGAGATTATTATTAAACACAATTAAACTTAAAATACACAAAAAGCATATCTACGTAGTACAGTCACTGAAGGTTTTCAATCCGATTTCGTTCAACAATCGGTTCGTACAAAAATTGGTGAGTAGTTAGAGGATACCTTCAGAAACAAAAGTGACATGGTGTTAACTTGCGCTTTTACCCTGGGGGTGGATGTCACCCCTTCCCGGGGGTGGAAATTATTTCATTAAAAATAACCCCAGGAATCGATAGAGGGACCAAATCTAAACAAAATGTATTTTTTTAAGGTATTAAAATAAATTAATACTTTTTGAGTTATTGAAGATCAAAGATTTTGATTTTTCGTGAAAAAATGCATGTTTTAAAGCGGTTTTTCATAAATAACTCAAAAACTATAAGTTTTTATAAAAAAGTTTAAAATTTAGATTTAAAAGATTAAATTTAACGACTTTATAGTCATTGAAATTACCTTTCAAATGGTTTTTGAGTGATCCTGATATCATAAAAATTAACGGAGTTATTGTAAAAAAATCAATAAGATTCTTTTAGAAAAAAAAAAAAAAAAATGAACGAACTTTTCATATATTTTGATATTTATTTTAATACGTTTTCTTCTTAACTAACAAATTAAATTTTTATAAGCACTGAAAAAATTAATCAGGAAATGTGGAAAGAATAAAATTAGGTAATAAAGTTTGGAATATATTAATAAAGTTTATCATAACCAATAAAAAAAGTTTCTAAATGATTAAAGCTATTAAAGCTAATAAAAAAACATTTTCCATTATTTTTATTACAATGGGTAGTTTTTAAGGGTTCAAAATTACGCAATAAATAAATAA